GTCTTTATTCATGTTCATAATAATCCTATGAAGCATGCACATTATTAACTGCATTTTACAGTTGAGGAAAATGAGCTTAGAGACAGTGACCTAATATAATTAATGGCAGTAACACAGGGAGGATATAGTTAACACTCTCTGGACATCACCAAAAGCTTTAAGGAGGAGGTAGTCCTGTAGCTGGTTGTTGAAAGATGTTCAGGATGATGATGCTGAATGAGAGAAATGGTAGTCTTGGCAGAGGGAACAGAATGAATGAGGGCATTAAAATAGCATGGTTAGTTCAGGAAAATACAAAAAAGTGAGTGTTGCTAAAGCATATGTGTGTATGAGTTGAGGGAAGGCAAGAGATGAGTGTAGACAGGCAGCTAAGGACTATTTGGTGAAGGGGTTAGGATGTCCTGTTGGGGACTTTAGACATTGCCTCACAAGTGATCAGGTGTCATTGGCTGGAGATGGGATGCAGTAGGGATTAAACCTGGGCAAGGTTATATTTGTATCCTAGAAAGACTATTCAGCTAACGAATGTACCAGATGGATTGACAATGAATTGGAGAGCCTAGAGATATAGAGCTCAATCAGAAGGTAATTGTATATCCGGGTCACAGATAATGAAGGCCTGAATGAAGACAATGAGATGACAGAATAAAGAATATCTTCAAAGGTAGACTAGACTGGTCTTGGTAATTAATGGGAATTAAGTGGTAGGATAGGATTGTTCCAGATTTCTGGTTCTGTGAACTGATATTTAATAACATAATGGAAGGCTAGGCACTTTGAATAATTTTGATCAGGTTTTAAAATCTTTTAAAAGTGAGTGACACTTGGGTAGTTCAGTCGGTTGAGCGTCCAACTCCTGATTTTAGCTCAGGTCCTGATCTTGCAGTCCATAAGATTGAGCCCCGTGTTGGGCTCTGCACTGATGGTGTCCAGAGCTTGTTAGGAATTCTCTCACTTTTTTTCTAGCCTGCTCCCACTCGCTTCTCTCTCTCTCTCTCAAAATAAATAAATAAACATAAAAAGTCTTTTAAAAGGTGAGGAAACAAGTTTCTTTTTTAAAAATAGAATTTATTGTCAAGTTGGCTAACATACAGTGTATACAGTGTGCTCTTGCTTTTGGGGGTAGATTCCCGTGATTCATCACTTACATACAACACCCAGTTCTCATCTCAACAAGTGCCCTCCTCAATGCCCATCACCCATTTTCCCCCCTTCTCCACTCCCCAATCAACCCTTAGTTTGTTCTCTGTATTAAAGAGTCTCATGGTTTGCCTCCCTCCCTCTCTGTAACTATTTTTTCCCCTTCCCTTCACCCATAGTTTTATGTTAAGCTTCTCAAGTTCCACATTTGAGTGAAAACATGATATCTGTCTTTCTCTGACTGACTTATTTCCCGTAGCACAATATCCCCCAGGTCCATCTACGTTGCTGCAAATGACAGGATTTCATTCTATTCTATTCTAGTAGTATTCTATTGTATGTATAAACCACATCTTTATCCATTCATCAGTTGATGGGCATTTAGGCCCTTTCCATAATTTGGCTATTGTTGACAGCACAGCTATAAGCATTGGGGTACATGTGCCCCTATGAATCAGCACTCCTGTATCCTTTAGATAAATTCCTTGTAGTGTTATTGCTGGGTCTTAGGATAGTTCTACTTTTAATTTTGGGGGGAACCTCCACACTGTTTTCCAGAGTGGCAATACCAGTTTGCATTCCCACCAACAGTACAAGAGGATTGCCATTTCTCCACATCCTCCCAGCATCTGTTGTTTTCTTGCATTGTTAATTTTGGCCACTCTGACTGGTGTGAGGTGGTATCTCAGTGTGGTTTTGATTTGTATTTCCCCTGATGATTAGTGATGTTGAGCATCTTTTCATGTGTCTGTTGCCCATCTGGAAGTCTTCTTTGGAAAAGTGTCTATTCATGTCTTCTGCCCATTTCTTCACTGGATTATTTGTTTTTCAGCTGTTGAGTTTGGTAAGTTCTTTGTAGATTTTGGACACTAACCCTTTATCCAATATGTCATTCACAAGTATTTTTTCCCATCTGTCGGTTGCCTTTTAGTTCTGTTGATTGGAGGAAACAAGTTTCTAACCACCTGTTATTTATTTATTTATTTATTTATTTATTTTTAAAAATTTTAAATATTTATTTATTTTTGAGAGAGACAGACAGACAGACAGAGTGTGAGCAGTGGAGGGGCAGAGAGAGAGAAGAAGACAGAATCTGAAGCAGGCTCCAGGCTCTGGGCTATCAGCACAGAGCCCAATGCAGGGTTCAAATCCTTGAACCATGAGATCATGACCTGAGGAGAAGTCAAACCCTTAACTGACTGAACCACTCAGATGCCCCACCACCAACTTTTTAAAAAAAAATGTTCCAGGGGCATCTGGGTAGCTCAGTCAGTTAAGCGTCTGACTTTGCCTCAAGTCATGATCTAGAGGTTTGTGAATTTGAGCTCTGCATCCAGCTCTGTGCTGACAGCTCAGAGCCTGAAATCTGCTTTGGATTCTGTATCTCCCTCTCTCTGCTCTCCCCCACTCGTGCTTTTTCTCTCTCTCAAAAAATGAATAAATATTTTTTTAAAATGTTTAAAGATTTCATGCAAAAGGAAGGCAAATACCATAAATAGGCACATTTGAAAGTTCTTCATTATCACCCCCAACTCAATTCCAATTAAAAGTACATCCTACTCACATGACACTATCTACATGCAAAGATTTATAAATAATTTGTACTTCATATGAATTATTTTATTCTCAACATCATATTAACTCTACTTAAAATGAGGACCTTAAGGGAATAGAAATGTGAAAATAGGGATTGGGGTGGGTATACTAGGATGTATCAAGAGAAGAATAAATTTGGAACTTTGAATACAGTGGTAACTATTTTTGGCTGAGTAGGATCTAAGAATGTTAGACTACTGAACAATGATAGGTAACAGAGTCCCCTGGTGGATATTTGTATTACTCTGTGCTGACCTAATTGTTAATTGCCACAAATAGTATTGGGGAAATCAAAATGGACATGTAGTCTCATCTCCTAGTCTGCTTGAGGCCTGTGGAAAAGCCCCAAACATGGTTCAAACATGTCTGCACTGTCACTGGATTAAGATTCCCTGAGGCTCAGCATGGAGAAAGAAATTAGAAGGCCATCTAGAGAAACCACAATGTAGAAAAACCAGAATGTAGAGCTAATTAGGCCAGTTTAAGCAGCATGTTCAGGACATCACTGGGATACTCATGGCAGGCATAGTGTTGGGCTGTATCCAGTAATCTTACATCTCAGCTTTCCTCATGTCCAGGGGCTATGTCATCAGGCCTTAGAACTCTTCCAAGGGACCCTCTTCTGAAAGAAAGGATCATGAGAAGTAGAAAGTATTTTTCTCACCAGTTCCAAGGACAGAAGAAAGCTAGGCCTTCAGTGGCCCACAGTCTAGAATATTAGATGTTAACAGAATGAAAGAAGAGGTGCAGACTGAGGAAACAAGAAGGGAAGGACTGCAGGGTGGCCACAGCTCCAGCCCTGACTATATGAGAATCCCACCCTGGCCCTACCAACGACTCCTACAGAGAATATCTGGAAATGAGATCTAGAGAGAAAAATGGAAGTCCCAATTCAGGTCATAAAAACATATGGAATCCTCAAGTACTAAGATGTGGCATCTGGCTTGACAGATTTGCATTTGTGCTCACCAACTGTGGAAGTCTGGGACACTTTGATTGTATGGAAGATGTTAAAAAATTATTCGTCGAAAGAAATAGAGGAATCATGGGGCATTTTAAGATAGGTTGAATCTGAGAGACAAATTGCAATGAGGAGCGGGATTTAGGTAGTAGATACTAGGTCATACCAGAGAGATTTAAGGAATTTAAATTATATGGCCTTTATATTAAAGAATAATATTTTAGGGGTGCCTGGGTAGGTTAAGTGTCCAACTCTTAATTTTTGGCTCAGGTCATGATCTTACGGTCATGAGATCAAGCCCCGGGTCAGGCTCTGCACTGGGCATGGAGCCGCTTGGGTCTCTCTCTCTCTCTCTCTCTCTCTCCCCCCACCCCCTTTGCCCCTCCTCTGATTGCACTCTCTATTAAAAAGGACAATATTTTAAATATTTCTAGGATTCTTAGAGGCAGAAGAAAATTTATATGTTTATAAATTTTTTTCAACTCTGCAACTAAATTTCATGGTGGATGCCTCTTTTGGCTCTAAAGGCAAACCTGGAAACAAATAAAGAAAGATGGGTACAGTGCTCCCACCTATCAGTCACTAAAATGTTGCTGGCATTGAGCATATCTGAACCATCAAGGGAAGGAGACAGCCCAAAGAACTTATCCTTTCTGGTAAAATCTTGGCAAACCATGGGTAGTAGGGAACCAGTACAGAAGTCTCAGCTCTGAACCTCAATCTTCTGATGGGGATCCTTTTATCTAGTCTGCATTTCCTGGAATGTAACCTCTGCCCTTTATTTATTTTATCTTTGCCTCTATCCAGTGTTACAAATAAGACTGGCCCCAATATTTTTATGATTGGCAAATTAATAATCTGGAAATGAAAGTGTTATGAAGGCAGGGACTTGGTCTTATCTCATGCACTTATCCATAGCACTTAGCTCCCAGGTCCTAGCAGGTGTCTGGTAGATATTTGTTGAATGAGGGAATCTCAAAGAAAATATTTTTTTTTTACTTTTTGAGTGGGGGTGGGGATGAAGAATGACAGCAGTAATAATACTAGCTTTCACTTATTGAAAACCTATTATTTGTCACTATATGAAATGCATTTCATAGTTTATCTCAGTTCCTCTAGTCCTTCAGTCACCTTATTGGATAGAGGGAACTATCTCCATTTTATAGATGATAAGACTAAGGCTCAGAGTGGATAGGTAACAGGACTGCAATCTTATGGCTAATATGTGGCAAACCCAAAACTGGAGCCAAGTTTGTGTGGCTCCAAATTTATGGCTTTTCATTAAAAGTTGATATCACTACATCTAAGAAGATACAATTCTCCTGTGACTGAGGAGCCTTTTAAGGGCCCCTTTCATGTCCTTGTTCCTCAGGCTATAGATAAAGGGGTTCAACATGGGGGTCACCACGGTGTACATTGCAGCTGCTGCAATGTCTTTCTCTTCAGAGGCAACAGAGGCAGGGCACAAATAGGCACTGAAGAGTGTCCCATAGAACACACAGACAACACAGAGATGGGAACTACAGGTGGAAAAGGTCTTGCCTCCTGCACCAGGAGTTTGGACCCTCAGGATGGTCAATACAATGTGGATGTAGGAGATGGCAATGCAGATAAAGGGGACAATGAGTACTGTGCCTCCTAAGGCAAAAACCGTCAACCTGTTGATGTGAGTGTCAGAACATGACAGCTTCAGGACAGGAGTTATGTCACAGAAAAAGTGAGCTATTTCCCCAGGGACACAGAAGGACAGCCGAGCCATGAGGAGGGTGTGAGTCAGGGCAACAACGTGGGTGAGGACCCAGCACAATGCAAGCAGCAGGGCACAGACTTGGGGGCTCATGACTGTGGGGTAGTAGAGAGGGCGACAAATGGCCACATAACGGTCATACACCATTACAGCCAGGAAGAAACTATCCAGATCACCAAACATCAGAAAGAAATACATTTGTGTGAGGCAACCAGCAAAGGATATGGTGTGATGTTGAGTCTGCACATTTACAAGCATCTTGGTAACTGTGGAAGATGTTAAACCTACGTCAACAAAAGACAGATTGGCCAGAAAGAAGTACATGGGGGTGTGGAGATGTGGGTCTGATCTGATGGCCAAGATGATGAGCATGTTCCCAGTTAAGGTGACAAGATACATACACAGGAAAATTCCAAAGAATAACTGCTGTTGCTCTGGTGACTCAGATATTCCTCGGAGGAAAAATTCAGAGATTCTGGATTGGTTTTCCATGATTCTGCAGCATATGGAGGCTAGGGAGGACAGTTAGATGATAGATTTCTTCTAGAATTCTACATGTAATGACTCTCAAATTTTCTAACTTCCAAATCTCTCTTTATATTCATTATCTTCCCTAATCTGACTTCATCTCTAATCTGACACTACTTCCTTCTTTTTCCTCTTTCTTAGGAATCTCATAGATTCTTCCTTTCTTCTCTCTTTTCCTCTAGTCAATCTTTTATACAGAAGGTACCCTTCCAAGGAGGCTCCGGGTATTGTTCAGCCCTGGCATTACCAAGCCTTGGACTAGGTCTACCATCCCATATCAGCTTCACCATTGCTTCGCACAGTACATGAGTAGACTGAGATGAGTTGAATCTTACATTCTCTTGGTAACCCCAAATTCATACAATTTTTAAACTCCCACAATATCTCATTTTAGAGGGAAGGGCATATAAAGAACTCATGTTCCTTTATTTCCATATCATTTCTTCTTAAATAGGAAATATGAGGTTCTGTATTTTTTCCCTTGTGTGTTTGAGTATTTTTGTCATTGGCATCATCATCATCCCATAGCTGACATTTACCAGCCACTTACTATACTTATCAGCCACTGTACTAAGTAGAACTTCATATAGATCATCTCCTTTAATTCTTAAACAGCACTATGAAGCAGAGGTTATTATTCTTATGATTTTATAGAGAAGAAAACTGAGTAACATACAGAGGGACTCACAGCTCACAAATATTAGAGACAGAATTCCAACCGATAGCACTGGACACCAGAGACAGCATTATCAGTCAATAGAGATAGAAAGGGATTTTCTACCATCAAACATTTAATCTCTCAACATTTCTAGTTTCATAGGTTTAGCTTCACTTGCCCTTTCTATCTTGAATACTTGTCTTTTATAGAAGAGCAATGAAGTTTAGGAATGAGATAGAACCTACAGAATCATCTGGTCTAGAAGTCCCCAAACACTGGTCTGTGAGATGCTTGCTAAAAGTACAGAATCCTCAGCCCTACTGAATTAAATCATCTGTGATATAGTCTGGGTACCTGTATTTTAAAAACTGAAACTAAAAGTAAACCATGCTCAGGTATTTTGATGCTCAATAAGGATCAAGAAAACTTCATTTAGTTCAACTGTTCCATCTATTCACAGATGATTAAGCAAAGTTTTGGAAACGTGATGTGACTGTAAAAGTTAACACTGCTCCTTAGAGGAAGAGAGTGTAAGAACTAGTGTATCCAGGCTCTCAGACTAGCGTTGTTTCAGTTTAGTCAGTTACCTTTCCATTTTTCATGATGTTTTCTTATCCATATCTTAAAGATCTAAATAAGTTTCTATTCCCCATCTCTATTCAGAGTCCACACCTAAAGAAAAACCCAATACAAATTCCAAGCCAATACAAGATATATTGAACCATTGTTTATATTTTGAAGTTAATATTTCAGTCTTTAGCAAGAGCAATAACTGAGAACATCACATGTTTATCTACCCCTGAACCCTATTGAGGAACACATCTCAGAGCTATATAACTTACTCTGAGACGTCAGAACGCCACACAGTATTTTCTCCCCTACTCTTTCTCTCAATGGGGAATGTGACATCTCACAAAGGTTAAGCTCTGTAACTGGGCACATTCTAATACCCATGTCCTGGAAACAAGAGACTCTCTTAAGACCCAACTGACTGTGTGTCTTCTCGAGAGGATGGTGATGCAGACCAGCACACATGCTGGCCCTGACATCCAGATCCTACCTTTAGCGAGTGAGTCCATTCATTCTTATTGGAGATCGCAAAGATTGCAATTTATTTTAGGGAAGAGCTGTATCTGTTTCATTATCTCTGTTGGCATACAATCCTTTGATCACACTATTCCTATAGAGATCCCTCAGTCTATACTATCCACCAGTTAACATCAGAAGTCCTCTAAAAGGCTCCAAAGCTCTACTCAAGGGACTTGTGCTAATATATCTTGTTCTACCCTTTGGTTCTTTCTTTCCTTAAAAGGGTTTCTCATCCTTACTCCTGTCTAAAGTCTCAGAAAACTTTGTATATCATAGAGACAACAGTGAGGTGCTTCCTGAACCTTGGGGCAACCTCTGTCTCTGTCATCCCAGGGTAGTAAGATCCTTTACTTACCTCCACTGCTTCCTCATCTACTGTGTCTGCCAAGTAAGAGCTGGCTTGGACATCGTGGAGAGAATATTCCAAAGGCAGTAACTGCTATCCTGCAACTGTTTGTCTCAAGTTTCTCTTCTTACTGCTACCCTCATTACTGAGAAGAAGGCATTGCATATGTCCTTAATTTGGGAGGAAGGTGGGAAGAGCTCTGATTCTTCTTGACAAGAGTTGTGATGGGATTAACTGGAATCAGAAATTAGGGTCAAGAATCAGAAAAAGAGCTTGTTAAACTGAGCCTAAAAATAAGTTTAGAGGGAGATGAATGGATCAAGAAGATGTGGTTTATCTATACCATGGAATACTACATGGCAATGAGAAACAATGAAATGTGGCCATGTGTAGCAACATGGATGGACCTTGAGGGTGTTATGCTGAGCGAAATAAGTCAGGCAGAGAAGGACAAATACCATATGTTTGCACGTATAGGAGGATTAGGAGGAACTTGACGGAGGACCAAGGGGGAGAAGAAGGGCGGAAATGGTGGGGGAAAGGGAGAGAGGCAAACCATGAGAGACTCTTGAATGCTGACAAAAACTGAGGACTGATGGATGTGGGGGGGTGGGGGGATGGGCATGAAGGAGGGCACTTTGGGGATGAGCACTGAGTGTTATGTAGAAACTAATTTGACAATAAACTATTTGTAAAAAAAATAAATAAATAAATAAAAATAAGTTTAGAGGGGAAAAGGGAGAGTGAGAGCAGGAGCAAGAGGGAGAGAGTGAGAGAGAGAAGGATTCCAGATGAGGAGCCTAAGAGATTAACAAAGGATTGTGAAACCAAGCTAAGGACAGATCTGTAGGGAAGACCAGAATTATCTTAGTTATATTCATCAGCTGGAACAAAGAAGAGGGTCTGTACTGAATTTTTAAGATGCTCTGGGACACATGGTACTCTGATCCTATTCAACCCAGGTATTCAGGAATTTTGAGGTATTTTATATTTGTATTTTGAAACCTGAACCGAGAAACTCAGAAATAAGGATCTGGCTCATCAGGCTAATACCAGGAGGAAGCTGAAGAGGGTTCTACTTTGGGCATCTGCAGACAAGGAGTCATGGGACAAAGCTCCCTAGAGCCTTGTTAGAGCTAACATTCATAATTGCCCAATTTCCTAAGTCTCTCATAATACACCAAATTAGTATAGTACTGGCTTCATTAGAAATTTGGAAGCTTACCTTTTTCTCTGTTAAGTAGTAGCATTAAGGGGTTATGCTATTTGTATTGATTTGTAACCATAGTCCATGCAAAAATGCTCTTTCTATGTAAATAAATATCTTAGCTTTCTCACTTGCAACAAAACTCCTGTTCCTAAATTCCTCCTGTAAATCTGGAAGCTACTACAAAGAGTTTAGTGGCATATGACATATATTTCTTAAAGAATTCTCATGCTTCCAGTTAAAGATGTTATATTAAAATCGTGCATCTAATTTCATTCTCTCCTAAAATCTTACGAAAAGTAAAGTGATTTTTTAAAAAGTCATAAACCCCACAGGGCAGTTAAGAGTAGAAAGGGAATGGTGAGGAGAAAAGTGAGAGTGGTGATAAAGATGGTCTTAACATTGCACTCAACCTGACTAAGCTGTAGGCAATATCTCCTGGCTGTGGTCCCGATGTCCACTTTCCTAGAGATTTACTTTAGAAGACTTATAGAGTTTACTTTTTTCTCTGTCCCTTTGAGATATAAATCTCCCTGGTTCTTGACAGTCTTACAACCTAGGAATGTCTTTCTCATGGACTTGGGAGCCATCTCTTTAAAATGGAATCATGAAGAAAGAGCATACTTATCTCCCAGTCTCTGTGGAATGGTAGGACCCTTACTTTAGTGGATGCCAGTCAGCAAACACAGATAGCCTAATCACAGTGACCAACTTTTTAAGAGCCTCCAGTGCTTTTACACTAGCTCATCCCAGCATTTAAAAATCATCCTGCTGGCTCAGTCAGTAGGGTATGTGACCCTTGATTTCAAGGTTGAGAGTTAAGCCCTATGTTGGGTGTAGAGCTTACCTTTTAAAAAGTTCTCCTGTTGGGATGAGCACTGGTCATTGTGTGTAAGTGATGAACCACAGGAATCTACCCCAAAAAACTGAGAGCAGACTTTACATACTGTACATTACCCAATTTGACAATAAATTACAGATTTTTAAAAAGTCCTCTTGCTTTTTTTTCAGTGGAATTGAGTTCAGTCTTTTTCCCCTACTGCAATCATCTCTTCCCTCAGTTTTATTGAAATATAATTGACATGCAACACTATATAAGTTTAAGGTATACAGCATAGTGACTTCACTTACATATAGTGTAAAATGATTATCACAGTAAGTTTACTTATCATTTATCATCTCATATAGATACAAAAAAAGGAAAAAATTGTTTTTTCTCCTTGTGATGAGAACTCTTAGGATCTACTCTTTTAACAGCTTTCATATACACCGTACAGTAGTGTTAACTATAGGTATTATGTTGTACATTATATCCTCGTCACCTATTTATCTTAAAACTGAAAGTTTCTACCTTTTGATCACCTTATTTCAATTCCCCAACCTCCTAACCTCTTCCCCTGGGATCCCTTTGTCTGTAAGTATGAGATTTGGGGGGTTTTTTGGTTTTTTCAATTCCACACATAAGTGAAAGCCACATATACAGAATTTGTCTTTCTCAGTTTGACTTATTTCACTTAGCATAATACCCTTAAGTCCCATCCATGTTGTTTCAAATGGAAGGATTTCATTCTTTTTTTTAAATTGCTGAATAGTATTCCAGTGTGTGTGTGTGTGCGTGTGTGTGTGTGTGTGTGTGTGTGTGTGTGTGACAGCTTCTGTATCAC